ATGAACTGTTAGATCAGAGGAACAGAATGGAAAAGGTGCAGAAAGAAGCGGTTTTGGAAGAGGAACAACTAGCTGCTTAGAGCCCCGACTAACATCTGTCTGCACTGCAGAGTTTTGTTCTAGCAAAGTGCTTTGCAGAAAATGCAGCTAATAGAAAGACATCTGGGTTACAGAAACACGTCTGAAAAGTTAGAAGTACAAGGGAAGATCAATGATGGCAGTCCCAGTGCCATGTCTCACACCATTACCAGGTGCTGTTGTGCAATCAAAAAGAGTATCTAAATAGCAGGAAACAATGATTTGAACCTTCTTATGTCGGACACGACTAAACGACTAAACAACAACAACATAATGTTGAGTCATTTGTTTTGAATCTGTCTATATATATTTTACAGGGTGTGAACTATTTGTTTAGTGTTGAATCGTCAATAAACATGATTTTAAAAAAAACCCTAATTGCATGGTTCTTTATACAAAACCACATACATAACCTCAGATGAAAACTTTTAAAGACCTTAAAATATCTCCTGTAATTTTCCACTGCAGAGTGTGGAGGAATCCAAGTCAGGCACAATGTGGGTATGTTTTTCTTTAGACACCCTTGAACAGATAACCTTCCATATTTTGGAAGATAACTATTCTGTGATTGTTGATGCTTTCTCTATGTTACAGATCTCCTTTTCCTGTGGCTGTCTCTTCCTGCTACAAAGCCTGGACACATTAGGAAACTTGCAGGATATACAGTACCCAGAAAGCCAACATGATCATGGGATCTTTGGAAATTCCTGCCTCTGTAGGCCATTACTGATGAACCAATTGCTATCATAAGTAGCTTGTGGCTGGAGCATGGGGTGCTCTCTGAAATTTTGGGGTGATACATCCCTCACCACTTGATCCATGGGCTACCTCTAGCTAATACTTGTGAAGAATCTAGGTTTCCTCCCAGAATCACTGGAGCTGGACCCTGGGAAGAGTTGAAAGCCTGCTGTCCCAAGGCCAAGGTAGCTGCTTTTCCCAAGGGTTCCCTCTCAGCTCAGACCTGTATTTTCCTCTTCCTTCTGTCCCCCCCCCCTGGATCTTCTTCAGTAAAGACAATGAGGTAACCCTCCCAGTGCTCTTAGTATGGGCCAAAATCCTGTTGGGTAACATCTCTCTGCACAAGAGGAATGATGTCAGCAGTAGCAGCAGCAGCAGATTGCCACAAATTAAAGGCTTTATTTTGCAAGTTCAAGGTGCATATGACCTCACTGCACTATGTGTTAGCCATGTGCATTCTGAAATTGAAGAAGGAACATCATTCCTATTGTGCAGATAGAGTTGCACAACAAGATTTCAACGAGTGCTCCTAAAGATTGAAATTGTATGCTTAGAGGATTCTGATATCTACAAATGAGGCAGTGGAGATAAACAAACGGGTGAGCTATCCCTTCCTTCCTTTGAATTCATTGGGATAATCTTGCGGCGATATTCAAGTGTTTGCTCAGATTAACGTGTGTGGTTCAGCAAATATATTCTTTAGCCCTTTCCTCTGTTATCACAATGGGCTGGATGAGGGCTAACAAATATTTTACAAAGGGCACTGTATTATTTAGAATATCTTCTATGAAATGGTCCAAGAAGTCACATTTCTATTTTCTTTAACTTATAAGAGAAACTCATCATGGAAGCAAATCCTCAGCAACTCATGCACTTGGGCCATAAATGGTTCTGGGAATTATTATTATTTAATATGCCAATATTCCACATTTATCCCAACAAGGGACGGAAAGCGGCTCACAACATAAAAATTAAAAACACAGTAAGTTAAATATTAAAAGACAAATTAAACAATATGATGTGGAATGATGATGTGGTGATGTTACCTGGGCTATTATCAATTCTCTATCTCAGTAGGCGACTCTGCCTTTGAGGTGCAGTTTCTTTGGAAATTAAGAAAGAAAATAAAACCAGCAGTCCTTGGAGCCTAGTTAAAACCAAGTAATACAATGTGCACATTTCCTTGCTGAATATCTGCCCACTCCTCTTGATTATCAAGGCTCTTAACCCACCCACATCCACCCCTGCCAAGGCTCTGGATATTCATAGGAAAACACTCACATGCAAGCATTCTGTGCAGTATATTTTGGATAGAACATTACTACCCTTGAAGAAACAGGTGTGCAGGCTGCAGATAGGACTCTGCTTGTATGCTGGACTCAGCTCTGCATGTGTGCTTATTTGCTTCTGCATGCTCAGAGCATACTTAATACACTGTGATGATGGACATAACTGTCTTTATATAACATAGGCTTTAGGTGTACATGTGACAATGGTAGTGCATGCCTTTGTGACATCTATATTGGATTACTGCAATGTGGTCTATGCAGGTTTCCCCTTTAGGAGTCTTGGGAAACTTCAGTTCCTCCAGTATGCTATGACACATACTGTATGTTAGTGGGTGCCTGGGTATAGAACGAGATCCCACTTGTCTTTCAGCATTTACACTGGTTATCAGTTTGCTCCTAGACGCAAGTCAAAACAGGGTGATTATATTGAAAGACTTCAGTCGCCAGAGTAAAGGACCCCTGATTGACAGCTTTCTGCTCTAAAAGCACATGTGTTCATTGAAATCAGTCACAATCAGAATTATACCATGAAAGTAGACTGGGCTGAAGAAATGGGAGCACACATACATCCCACCCTTAATATCCCCCCTCCACCTGGATGACAATCAGACCTTCACACAGGAAAAACCAAAGAAGTGTTTGTGAACATGTTCTGTTAAACATACTTTAATTGTTTCTCTGATTGCTCAGTGCTTTAGGTCTCTGGGTGCAGAGCTAGAGGTTACAAGTTCAATCCCCCCCCACACTGTATCTTCTTGATAGGGGCTGGGCTCAATGATCCATAGGGTCCCTTCCAGCTGTCAGGGTTAAGCAGAAGAGGCACCAGGACCCAGTCCAGAGCAAGACCACAGGAACAAGGTAGAATCAACCCCACAGCCCACATCAAGACCAGCTATGTTTTTGAGTCCAAACAGCAGCCAAATAAAAGGATAATGCAAATCATGGCCAGACACTCCAGGGGTCAAAGCCAGAAGGAACTATATCAAGGCCACAGGATCCAGGGATGCAAAGAGAGGCAAGGCAGGAATAACAACACAGCTGGAGACCTTCATCAGAAGGCTTGTTCTTATATAGTCCAATCCTCAGCTTTCACAGGTGCCACTCCTGAGGAGATGGTCAACAGCTGTGGGGAAAAAGCCCAGTCCTGCAGTTAGAGCAGTTCTTCCCAGAGAGATGGGGACAATCCTGCCTGCACCAAGGTTGCAGGGTTCTGGCATGGCTTCCTGACACCAGCTCTTTGTTCTGCGGTTTAGCTCTACTCCTCACTGTGTCTCCTTGACAGAGGCTGGTCAGTACGATCCTTTGCAACTCTGCACTTCTCATATTTATTCTTCTTCTTCAAAAACGCCAGGCACAGTCAATCAAACTTATAAAAACATTGACTTATTATGTAACAGGTACAAGTTTTAACCAACAACTGAAGTATCAGTTAAATATCTGTGCAGTATGTATGCTCTTCCTAATATTGCTGTTTTTTGTAGGTCCGATGGTGTTATTTCTGATATCTGCAACTGCTTATAATACTGTGTAAAATTTCTGGATATCGTTCCCAAAGCCCCAATGATTACGGGGACTACTGAAGTGTGTTTCATCCACAAGCGAGATGTTTTGATTGCCAGGTCTCTGTATTTTGTTAGTTTTTCCAATTCTTTATTTTTAACTCTGGCATTCCCTGGAATTGCAATGTCAATTATCCAGACATTTCTTTGTTCAATTGCTACTAGAGATGGGGGGTATTCACATTCTCCAGACATTTCTTTGTTCTATTGCTACTAGAGATGGGGGGGTATTCACATTTGTATATGAATGCCGCCACACAGGTGGACATAATGAGGGTCAAGCCCCCTGGGACGGATCGTCCACTCACCTTCTGCTGTTGCTGCAAGCTCTGCAGTCCTTTCCTATCACTCCAGAGCTCACGGTCTGCAGGAGGTGACGAGCCTTGTTGCAAGGTCGAAGAGTGGCTCTCAGACTGCAAACTCTGGAGTGACAGGAAAGGATCGCAGAGCTCCTGTTAACAGCAGAAGGTGAGTGGATGGTCCAGCCCCAAAGGGCTGGATGCTCTTTATGTCCACCTGTGTGGGGGTATTCATATTTGTAAACGAATATGAATAGCCTCATCTCTAATTACTACTGTGCCTGGTGTGTTATGTTCAAGGTGTCTATCCGTTTGGATCCGCAAATCCCACAAAAATATTATTATTATGATTAAAAAAAAACTAGGCACAATCAAAACTATAAAAACATTAACTGGTATTATCTAACAGACACATTTTAACCAAAAACCTAAGTATCTGTTAAATATTGGCATACTACTATGCTGTTCCTAATATTGCTGTTTTTTGTAGCTCGGATGGCGTTATTTCTGAGATCTGCAACTGCTTATAGTACTGTGTGAAATTTCTTGTTGTTGTCATCGTCGTTATAGTCAGAGTCCTACTCTCAGTTGGGATATAACTTCCCTTCCCAGTCAGATCAAAGTTTTCCTCAGTATGCCAGCTATGGTGAAAGTAAAGCTGGTCAGGAGAAGTGAGAAAGCTCTCTTTGGATACATAAGTAATCAACAAGAAATATTTTGCCACAACCCTCTTGCTTGGGGACCCCCAGCAGGTGAAAAAAGGTTTAATTTCTTTCTTACCAACCCTCCCAGGTGGAACTTTCATATTTTTTTTTTAAAAAGCCACAATTTATGTCATGACTAGTGAGTCTGTTGAAAGTTTATCCTTTTCTTTAGCTAAGGTTACAAAATTCTCTTTTAACATTTTGTCCAGGTAGAACCAGGAACCACACATTGTCCCAAACCGTAATGTGAAAAATAAAAGGCAAATTTCTAAAAATTAAAATTTTTACTCTGCTTCTAAAAAAAAAAGATATGGCAATTGCTTGGAGCAAAAATATTCTAATATCCTATAAACAACTTGAAAATGCAATTTGTTCAAGCTCCCTACTGTTATTTCACCAACTGCTATTAGTTGCTGCTAAGAATAACAGCCAATAAGTTCCTAACCAAAGAAAATCCCAGCCTCATCTTGGAAAAATTCTATTCTGGACACACTGGCTAAAAGGTTCTGGGAGTTTTAATTCAAAAGAGAAATTTTGTCTAGGTCCTCTCCACTTTCACCTCTCAAATAGCTAACTTCCTTTTGAATATGCAGAACGAGCAAAATATTTTCTAGAAATCCATTCCAGGTATTGTACTCGCTGGACACTTGAACCTCTAGTACTCAGTAATATAACAATCCTAGAAACAGTTAGAGTCTCAGATTATCAAGTAAACACCCTGTATGAGCTGCATTATGCCTTGATGCATAATGGTTTTAATCCTTGTGTCTCACTGATTAGGAGGTATTCTCAGTCAAACGAAGGTATCCCATACTCTTGAGCAGCATTGCCAGACACATATTCTTTGCATGGCTGTATCGCATTGCTGTATATTTTTTTTGGCTCTTATGTTTGTGAGATCAACCGTGCTGGTGAGTATGCAGCATATGGCACATGTTCCTTTATTCCTCTTAAGGAGCAACGATATTGTGCAGGAAGGCAAAATGTACAAAGCAGTCTTCAGCTAGGTCAAGGAGCAAACTTCTCAGTTTTCACAGGGGCTTGTGTTTTAAGTGACGTTTGCTTCCAGATGGTGACACTTCTGTTAGTGTCACAACATGGCACTCCAGTGGTGGATTCTCTGATCAGATGTTTCCTTCCTGCAAAAATGAAAGCACTTCAATGGGAACAAAGTCTCTATGCAGCTCAAGCTAGCCCTCCCAGCTTAGTGTCTTTCATGCTCTTTTCCTGTACATCTTCAGGACCCAAACTGCCATCTTGGTTGCCATTTATTAAGTCCTCTTCCACCTCTCTGTGATTCCTTTTGCAACTCTGGCAGAGGCTACTGGAGTTCTCCAGCAAGCTGATACAAAGGTTGATGATCAGGGCTAGCCAGGCCATCCCAAAGAGAATCCAGAGAGACACCACATTCTTGTACCAGGCTGGGTAATTGCGTTCAGGATTCATGCCTGTGGAAAGATCAAGCCATTTATAGGTGTGGAGTAGAAAGCTGTTGAGAGGCAAATCTTATCAAATTAGAAATCTGATACTAAGCATTTTGTACTGAAGCAAACAGGATTTAGGCTGTTGCTAGGATACTTTGATGACAGAGAAAATTAATACCTAAACTGCAAACTGTCTGGAGAATCTGAGAGTGGGTAGGACATTGCCCAGGTCAGAGACCAACCCAAGGAACACTCTGAATGGTGATGTAATTATTCAACAATTTGTTGTACAAATAAACTGTGAACAAGTGAACTTCAGCTATGAGACGTGGCTATAACGGATAAGTCATTTGCCCATAAATATCCTTCTGAAATGCCCATCAGACTTTGCCATTGTCAACAATACTAAATATTTTTAAAATCTACTGTATTTCCCTATTGCCTTTCTGAACACCACCAAATTAATACCATTTCCCCAAAAATAAGACCTACCATGAAAATAAGCCCTACTATGATTTTTCAGAATGCTCGTAATATAAGCCCTACCCTAAAAACAAGCCTCATTTAAGTGAAACTCCGTTCTCCGCCATTGTGCAGCAACTAGAAGAAGAGGACATGACTGTATTTGCATAAATGTAGATTGTTGTACATTAAAACAGCATTCTCTGAAAATAAGCCCTAATGTGTTTTTTGGAGCAAAAATTAATATAAGACCCTGTCTTATTTTCGGGGAAACACGGTACACAACAGTATAACAATAAAACGACACCATCAAATGTTAATACAGTAACAAAAATTCTAAGCCCAACATTTTAAAAGACCACAGATTCAATTTTAAAGGCTAAGTTAAAAAGAGATAATCTACCCACTTCTCTTCTTCTTCCAAAGAAGCAAATGCAATTTTTTGAAATAAATGTATAGGGGATCCGATTAGAGATGCCACAGGGTCGAGATATGAAGATAAGTCCATGGTGACTCTAGCTCAGTGGTCCCCAACCTTGGGCCTCGAGATGTTTTTGGAATACAACTTCCAGAAGCCCTCACCACCACCTCTGCTGGCCCGGATTTCTGGGAGTTGAAGTCCAAGAACATCTGGAGGCCCAAGGTTGGGGACCACTGCTCTAGCTAATTAGAATCACTCCTGAATCTATCCCTTGTAGCTCCAACCTGATTTCTTTCTTCAAAGTAGAGTAGGAAGCAATGGCCCTGCATGGATTGTTGGGTTGCCAGTCTTGTAACCTCTGATTTCAGGCAATGATAGCTGGGATGATGAGACCAACTGATGAAAGATTACACACACTCTAACATCCTGCTTTAGAGTATGACACACTAGTTCCAGAATGCTTTACGTTTACGATGTGTTTTTGCTTACTAGTTCTCATAAATGTATAGGCTTTCATATTTAGTCCTCGTACTCTATCCATTATGAGACTGGGATTGTGGCTGCTAAGCAATTCCATGAACTAGAATTTAACCAAGCTCTTCTAATTCAAGGTCAGAATTTCATCTATCACACTGCCTTGCTCATATTGCAAATGCAACAAAAACTCAGAGCTATATCTAGTGTTAACATATTTTGTTAGGTTAATACAGAACTTGAAAAAGTTAACTTTCTTGGACTACAGCAGCCAGAATACCATGCCAATGGCCATGATGGTAGGATGATTCTGGACGTTCTAATCAAAAACAAAACAAAAACAAAACTTTGGGATATTAATACCTGCTTCCTACTTGGCCCCATAATTTAAAATTATATCCTACCAGGAAGAATTGATCCACTGGCAAGGTCATTTTAGTAAGCTAAGGAGTCAATCTAAAGGAAGAGGAAGCACTAGCTTCACTGAAACCATCCAGATTGTTTTATAATACAGCTGGTCTTAGATCTCATTTTTTCAGAAGAGTGAAATTATCTATGTAAACTGTGGTCCAGATGCAAAATTTGCCTGCATCAAAAATTGGAACTTAATTACGGTAACCAGCTGGTATGAAATATTCTGCTTTTCTTTTTCCTTCATCTATGCTCAAATGGCTATTTCCCCAGAATAAATGCAACAGTCCATTTGAGGTACAGTGCATGGATGTCTTTCTTAATTCAATTCACCTGGTAAAGAGCAGCTAATCTCTATTTGGATGTGCAGACAAGTGAATGGTACACACAAAAGAATGTGTGAGAAACACCTCACACAGCAATTGTTTTAAATTTTTCCCTACCTGACAAATGATTAATTACATTCTTGTTGACACAAAACCAACCTTCCTGCAGTGAAAAAGGCAATAAAACTGGAGGGCAATAAAGCTGTTTGTGAAAGTGAAGTGAGACTTGTTCTCCCGCAGACTAAGTTTATGTTAACAAGTCCCTGAGAGTTGGAGGCAAAGAGGTCTTCACAATCAAGAAGGATTGCCTTTTCTAGCTGATACTGAAGAAGATGCCTGTGTGCTTACACTAGCCTTAAATTTGTTGTCATTATTGGGCATGCATCTGAAAAGGAAACTCTTTTTGATGGTTGTTGTAGGTTTTTCGGGCTGTTTGGCCATGTTCTAAGCCTTCAGAACACGGCCAAACAGCCTGAAAAACCTACAACAACCACCAGATCCGGGCCGTGAAAGCCTACAAGAATACACTGAAACTCTTTTTGTCCCCAGTTACGACATATGCAGAAACTCTAATTGGGAAAAACAAAGAAACACTGATATTGTTGTTATGTGCTGTGAAGTCACCTCCAACTTATGTTGTCCCTATGAATGAGTGACCTCCACAATGTCCTATCATTAGCAACTCTTGTAAATGCAAGACTTTGATTCCTTTACAGAATCAGTCTCATATTTGGTCTTCCTCTTTTCCTGCTGCCTTCAACTTTATCCAGCATTATTGTCTCTTCAATATCATATATTCTCACATTGCACCCAAAGTTCCACAGACTCAGTTTTAGCATTTTTGCTTTTAGAGAGAGAGAGAGTTCAGGCTTGATCTGCTCTAGGGCCCTCTTGTTTGCTTTCTAGAAGTCTAGGGTACATACAAAGCTCCCCTCCAGCAAAAAAAGTACCAAACTAAATAAACTTACTGGTTTTATCCAAATCAGGGAGAAAAAGGGATTTACAGTAGGTTTGTTGTGAGGCAGCTCACA